TCTCTCTCTCCCCCTCTCTCTCCCTCTCTCTCTGTCGCTTTCTCGCTCTCTCTCCACCTTTCTCCCTCTCTCTCCCCCTCTCTCTCTCTCCCCCTCTCTCTCCGTCTCTCTATCTCTCTGTCTCTCTCTCCATCTTCGTTATAGTCACTTGCACTGAGAGAAATATTTATAATGTTGATTTATTATTTGATTTTTATTAGCGACCTACATTTCTGCGTCTAATATGCTACTAGTTTAATGACAAATTCCGCCTTACATACAACAGATAGAAGCAGCTTAAAATTGTATAGTACAATATGGTAGTAGAGTTTACGTACCACTTGCCTATAGCGATGTATCAAACAACGGTGTACATCCTTACCTGCATCAAAAAATCATGCAAAACTACAATCTACACGTGGTATAGGAAAACAGACGTACATACCTGCATCAACAAATTCTAACTATACATACTACTCGTGTTACAGAATACAAGATATGTGCGCTTCATAAAATCAAGGGCGTATTAAGAAGGCGTATCAGACGCCCTTCTTAATACGCTCTTGATATAATCATACAAAACTACAATCTACTCGTGTTACAGAATGCAAAATATGTGCGCATCAAAAAATCATACAAAACTACAATCTACACGTGTTACGGGATAACACACGTACATACGTGCATCGTATAATCACACAAAGCTCAACAAATGTTTAACTATCTCAAAATCGAATGCATTCAGCAAGAACGCTGTTATATGAATGGCTATAAGTGTTACGAATCCCTCACATTTTACGCGAAGCTTGACGTGAGTCATAGTCATTGAAGACGTGTTTATATCACGCTGTAAACATTTGGCTAACATTTACGGACTTTATAACATTGTAGGTGACGTAACACACAATAACTTGTGACGTCACGATCGTTGAACGTGACGCAAACCGAAACTAAAAAGAAGGTATTCGGGGAGTGCGAATCCTCCGCATACGCGATCACTACACCTGTGATATTTTGTAGGCTGAGGTTGCTACTGGTAATGGATGACGTTGACCTTGCTTAGTTTTCTGTACTGAACCGATCGACTATCTGCCAGTGCTTTTTGTTTGAACAGAAATGCACACTCAGACATACACGTAACTTGCAAAGCAGATATATTGATTGATGTTTAATGCACATGTAACTACATGTATATGAACAAGGAGGAATGTTAGACGTCTAAATACATTGTGCACGCAATTAAACCAATGAAAATGGGGAAATTGTGTACGTGTATACTTGTATAAAACCTGCAAATGTGCAATGTGCATGCTCAATGCGTAACTAGGAACTGGTTTCTTCTACAGCGCAGTTAACACACTCTGCCACACACACACGTCTGGAAATACCGCCTGGAACCCCCGCCCCGCGTTAGTGTCTACCTCTTACGGTTGCAAAGATATCGAGCGGACAGACAGACACACACACACACACACACACACACACACACACACACACACACACACACACACACACACATACACACACACACACCACATACAACCGAGCGAATAACAATACCCTCCACTACAATTCGTGCGGAGGATAATAATTTTGTGTCATTGTACGTACGTCACGACTCGTCGGCCATTGTAACCTCACCCCTCCTGCTGCACGTGACGTCACCACTCGTCGGCCATCGTGACGTCACCCCTCCTGCTGCACGTGACGTCACGACTCGTCGGCCATCGTGACGTCACCCCTCCTGCTGCACGTGACGTCACGACTCGTCGACTATCGTGACGTCACCATTCCTGCTGCACGTGACGTCACGACTCGTCGGCCATCGTGACGTCACCCCTCCTGCTGCGAGTGACGTCGCTCCTCATCGATCGTGTGACGTCGCCTCTCAATGCGCGTGACGTCACGACTCGTCGGCCATCGTGACGTCACCCCTCCTGTTGC